GGCAGCTGATCCAACTTTTAATTCAAATTTCATACTTACACATCAATAAGTTGATGACTGCCACATCTACATTATGTGAACCATTATGTCATTGATAATGTACCTCTAGCATTTTTCATTTTGAAAACATTGAGGATGTCATCCTCGATGTAAGAATAAAATTACGAGGGTGACCGAGTTGGTGGAGCAGGTAAACGCGAAAATCAAAGGTCACGAGTTTGAATCATCTGCCAACACTTCCTCAGTCGAGTCCGTCGCACCGGACTTGCCTAGTGCGGTTTACCTCTCCTATATAGTTTGTGAGCTACTGCACATGGAGCGATATTTACCTAGCGCTCACTCATAGTGGTTGGGGCTCCGTTGGTGAGTAACGGCTGCGGGTTCCTACGTCAACAAAAAAAAATTGGGTTTCACCTTTGAGCTTCAACGAAGGAATAGGTGTGCGAGACCCCTGGTGCCACTTTTCCAGTACAAGTTGGAATTTTAGAATTTTTGGCTTTTTCTAGCATGGTTTGGAGACTTCTTGAGGCCTTAAAAAAAAAAAATCCTCTTACATTGTCTTTGGGGACGCCTCATAACATATCATACATCAATATCCCACAAGGTAAACACTCTAAGAGAGAAAAACTTAAGGAAAAGCATGGGGTTTGGATCATATTCTAGATTGGAGGACTTGGTGCAAGAATTTTGCAGTTGATTTTGTGTATCATTTTTTACTTCTATTATTAATGCTTCGAGTGATCTGTTACTAATTTTCGTTGAATTGTTGACAATAAAGAATCGATAGGTGAGTTATTTGTTTAAACTACGTGGTAAATATCGGAAATTGGTAGAAAGATAGAGAACTACTTTTGCTATTTTTGTGGGCTTAATTGAAAATTATTGAAACACATTTTGTTAAAATATAATTTTGATTAACATAGAGATAAAATGAGTTGACTTAGTTAAATACCATAGATTTATTTTTTTAAGGAAAATACCACATTAAGGGTTTTTTTGGATAATAGATTTTGTAAAACTAAACGAAAAGTAGATGACAAACAAGCACTAATGCAATTGTGCATGCAATCAAATTTTCCACTCACCTTGATGACTTCTGATGGGGGGGGCATGCAAGTTATTACCAATATATCACACTACTAATTAGGCTTAAAGAATAAAACCCGCAACCTAAAATTAATAGAACTATATGAAATAAATATACAAATCAAGACATTAGATTACATTTCAAAAGTGCGATTGAAAAATACATAAAACAATATCAGATTCTACATAATTGGCCTCTTACCCTTTTCAGATTTACATACAAGAAGAGAGGAGATGGTAACCAAGTGAATTTGGTTAGATATCTTGTGTTCAAAATTGAGAATATCCACAGCTTTCCATACCGGACTATACCAGCAGAATATGAAAAATTGCCGGTGTCCTGTTTAATCCAACAATGCAGTTTTGATTTATAAGAGTTCGGTCCGTATGATTTGGGAATCTTGCAACGAGTCTGAGACTGGCTTGGATTCAAAGAACTTAGCAACAGCCTGATAGAGATTCTCTTCCTCGAATGGTTTGGACACATACCCATCCATCCCACATTTAAGACATTTGTCTAAGGTTGCATGGATAACATCGGCTGTCATCGCCAATATTGGCATATGCCACAAACCATTTTCCTCAGTTCCTTCAATGGTGCATCCTCCATGCATCTGCTCATTTGCAATACTCTCCATTTGCCTAATCCGTCGAGTTGCCTCAAAACTGCAATTATTAGAAGAAGCAAATATTAGTCTCTTCTCTAAAGAAGTATAAAGACAGCTTAGTCATAAACCTACCGGGATTCTAGTGGACCTGAAAAAGTTTTAAGAACATACCCATCCATTTCAGGCATCTGAATATCCATGAAGCAGGCATCGAAACTGTGTGGTAGCTCAAGCCACTTAAGAGCCTCTTCACCACTTTTAGCACACTCTACATCAGCCCCAAACTTTTTGAGTGCACCAGCAGCAACTCTGCGGTTCACCATATTATCATCAACCACCAATATCTTCTTGCTACAGAGCAGGCTACGGAGGAAAGTTGATTTGCACACTTTTTCCTGTGTCTTATGACCCATTCCCAACGCCTGTTGAAGGCATGCAGCCACCATACTCGCTCTCAAAGGTTTCATGATCACAGTATCAGCAAAGTCAGCTGCCATGGCTTTGTCAAGCTCAGAACTGGTAATATTGGTTGCAAGAAGGATCATCTTAGGCAACTTATAACAATGGCCATTTTTTCTCCAGTCTGATAACTGTAAATGAACGCTATCATCCTTGCCAGAAATCCATGAATCTTTCTCAACCAGAATCACATCTGGCAGCCTTTCATTTCTGCATATATATATATTTAAACTCAATACAAGTTTTCATACCATCAGCTAATATTTATTTGTTGTAGATGTTAATTGTGGATAAAATTTTGAACTAACGCAAGGAAAAAAGTCAAAATGGTATAATACTGTGAAAAACTCTAGTCATGCTCCATGGCTAAATAGTTTGGTAGAGATCACCCATAGGTCCCTGCATGAAGCTTTACAACAAAAGGTATATGAAGTTCAAAAATCACAGCAGCAAGAAAGGAAAATAAACATGCTTACTTAGATATCAGGGAGCCATATTTATCAGATACAGAAATTGCTGTCCTCATGCTACTGACAGCTTCAACCCGAATACCAAGCCTGTTGAGGTGATACCTTGTGACAGCAGCTCTAACTGGTTTTCCATCAACTACAATAGCTTTCAACCCTTTGAAAGCCATTGGAAGATCATCAGATACAGTTTTTTTCAGATCCCCAACTGCATTTTTCCCACATTTTTGGAAGTCAACAGTGAACAAAAACGTGCTTCCAACATGAAGACGGCTAATGAAGTTTATATGACCACCCATTAGCTCAACAAGACACTTACTAATGCTCAACCCTATACCTGTTCCCCCATAATTTCTAGATGTTGAACTGTCAGCTTGCATAAATGGCATGAAAACTCGTTTTTGTGCATGTTCCGGAATTCCAATTCCCGTATCTTCAACACACAGCATCAGCGTGACATTCTGATGAGTATTATCAGTCATTGCTTTACTGGTAGCATCATACCGGAAGTCATCGTCGGTAATCAAATGCTTAAAGATATCCCAGCTGTTTCGGTCATCAGCAGCCTGATAACCACTCAAAGTTTGAAACTGATGACCGCTTGATTGTCCTAAACATTCAGATACTCCATTCAAACATTTTTCAGTTCTGACATCCATCATAGCTTTTGCTTGTTCAGCCAAATGGACTTGAACAAATATATGTCCTCGCTCAGTAAACTGTCAAGAAATAGATAGTATGTTGATGTTTATAAAACTACTACAAAAAATTTCGGGTTAAGACACAGAAATCCAATTTAAATCACACAATTTATTTCTAAATTAAAAATTGAATCCAGATCCTGTGTCACCAGGGGTTTGATAGCCATCATGATTAATCTATCCCAGGCAGAAGGATGGGAGTTGAAACGTTTTTGAATCCAATGGAGAGATGATATGTAGTGCAATTTGAGAAGGGGAAAGGCCGTCCCCCTCTCTGAGTAAAAGAAATGCAGAAAAGCTTGAGATATGTTCTTTTAACATCTGAAGTATAACAAGCATTGAAATTCACTTACTTTGACAGAGTTGCCCACAAGATTTGTAATCACTTGTCTGAATCTTCCTGGATCCCCAATAACAATTTCAGGGACTTTATCAGAAACAAATACTGCCAACTGTCCAATGAATCGCACAGTGTTGTAGTAGGAAGTTCCAATCAATTTTTCCAGTAGCGCCAATGTCATTTATTAAAAAGCCACAGGAGTGAACAGGAAGGCAAGGAAACACAAAGTTAGAACACAAAGGAAGCATGCATGATTAAGTGTTTTCAGAACTTCCACTCAGAAGCTATGTTAAGAAGGTGATAATTAGGATTGTTAGAGCTTTTCGGGCTTTACCTCAATACCCTTGTTCCTACACTTCTCAGAGAACAGGGATAGAACATCATCTAGTATGGATCGAATGTCAAAAGGGACTGCCTCAAGTTCTAGCTTGCCCGCTTCAATCTTCGCCCTGTCAAGCACTTCATTTATCAATGTTATCAGTGACTTCCCACAAGCTTGAGCAGTCTGAGCATAGTCCCTTTGGGGGGAACTCAGTTCTGTATCTAGTAGCAGAGCTAGCATTCCTGCAATCATTTGACATGAACAAAATCAATGTTCAGATTCCAACCCAATTTAATAGATGAGATCATTCAAAAGAAAATTTGGCGTACCAAGGATGCCATTCATGGGAGTTCTTATTTCATGGGAAACCGTCGCTAGAAACTGGCATTGGAAAAGAGATGAAATTCAGGTCATAAAGTAACAGCAGTAGAGCAGTAGTTGAATAATGGACGGTGAACACATTTGCATGAAATACCTGGGATTTGGCTACATCAGCAGCTTCAGCTCGGACCTTCAATTTCTGCATTTTATGGAAGTCATCTTCAACTTTAACAATGTGAATCGCTGCGCCATATATCATATACCCAACCAAAAAGCCAATCACAAAAACGAAAAATGCTGTCGTCAGTGCCGTCCACGACGGGGGAGCCTTTTGAAGATACCTAAATGGGCATACAAATTGGTCTCAGTATGCATGCCTAACAGAATATTATGTCGCTAAAAATAGATGCTCAACGGCTTAGTGCACCTACCTACACATCATCTCATGTTTGCGGAAAGGGTCTCCAAAATCAAGCCTGCTCACGTGCGCAAGGGAAATGTCACTCTCTTGAGACTGGTGTCCATACATGATTAATGGATCAGAAGAATTGGTAATGTCATACACGGTAACCACTATTGCCTGGTTACCAGCAAGTTGCCCTAGTAGATTTTCAACAAGGGATTCGACATCAAAGGCTCCACCAAGATAACTGTTTGCAATTAGCATAATTTAGCACATAAATCCTTCAACAAAAGCATAGAAATCAACATAAAAAACAAAGGGAGACTAGCGTACTACTTCAATTTTTTGTATTTTATAACCCTTTTAAGTACTTCCAAATCTTCATGCTGTAAACATTAGAACAGTCTTACATACATGTAATGATCTCAGAATCACAAGAAATAATAATACTGCAATTAAAATAGAAAAGAAGAAATACAATTAAGCCCCCGTTTGATGCACATTTTGAAGGTAAGAAAACATTTTTACTATTGATGTGATGGGAAATATGTGGTTGAAAAAGAATGAAAAGTTATTGATGTGATGAAAAATATTATTTTATTGTAATGAAAGAATGCATTTTTTGAAGTGATGTGTTGGGGAATATGTGGTTGAAAAAGAAGGAAAAGTTATTGATGTGATGAAAAATATTATTTTATTGAAGAATGTGTGGTTGAAAATGAGTAGAAGAATAATAATGAAAAAAAAAATGTGGACCAAACAGGACCTAAGAATAATATGCAATGCATTCAACAGAAGATTATTGACACTAGCCAATTAATATTGTTCGATAGGATGGCAGTTCATCTCTAGACAGTGTAAACATGCTATATCACCAAAAGTACCCCCAAATTTGGAAATACAAGAAGAAAAATATGACCATCTAATGAGGCTCTTAAGGATGAAAATGTTGAGTTATAATCTCGTCTTTTAGAAATCGACAAATGAAACATCAATGTTTTAATCTTCTTTTTGATGATCTCATTGATGAAAATAGAAGAGAATAAAATATGAATTAAGCGCCGCGAGTATGCATAGGTTGAGATGCAAAGTGAAAGCCACATTTTCCCTGGTGGCCAATAATTAGGAAAGAGAAAATATCTTCCTAACCCATACGAGTTTCCTCATAACCATAAGATGGAATCCTTAACTTCTTTTTACCCTGGACTCTACCAATTCTATGAAACAATAAACAGAAGAATAAGCCACCAAATCTGAACAACTTTCCTACTATTATTTTAACCTCCAAACATGAAAACATCCTACAGTAAGTGATGTACTCATTTCTTTTAAAGCATCTCACTCCCGTATTATTCTTTTATTTATCTGCACGGAAAGTATCTCCAGGCTGATTGTTTCAAATTAAGTTTTAAATTTCAATTTAACTCAATTTTATGAATATCTCAATCGCGATATGTTTACTATAAAAATAAAATGAAAAGAGATGCTAAGTTTTTGGACATGCAGTTCACATGTATGTGCAATGTGCATGCAGAATTATAAAAGAGAAGATGGTGATTGTATGAGCACTGGTTTTGCTTAGAGTTAAAATTTAGTGTAGAGGGGTTAAAGGGTAGCTCCAAAATGTTGTTTTGTGATTCATATCATGTCTTCCTTTTACATAATTATTAACATATTTGAATTTTTTTTTATATAATTTATTTTCTGTTGCAATTGAATCATTTTCCTCAAAAATTGGTTCAGGTTCATTGATAAAGGAACCTTTTTATGGTGCTTCATAGTATCGTGTGGCGGGCTATTAAATTAGCTCAACTTGTCTGGGAATAAATCTTGGAATTGTTCAATAATGATCAAACTGAATGACGAGCCTATATGCAACGTAATTCCTTATTACTCGGAGGAAGCTTGTAGATTCAAGCATATGAGAAGAATGACAACCCTAGCTGATCAAGAAATAAATAGCAATTTGTGCAGTAGAATATCAAGGTAAGCAACTAGCAGATGGACAATGTCCTGATCTCAGAAGAGGTCCAGCATTACAAGCTGTAACGCATAAAACTTCTGTGGCTAAAACCATTACAACAGATAATGCGTAAAGCTATGGCAAGCAATGGTAGTCTAATGATGTTCATGACAGACAGAAACTTTGTGGTGGTTAAATTTATTTAGCAGGCCAATCACAGGTGATCTTTCATTTTGATATTATTATTCTATTCCAACAAAATTGAATTTTCAAATAAAAGTTTGAAACTAAAAGCTTCATTTGTAATTGTCCCAGAAGATCAACAAAAGCAGTTTACTTACTAATACTGCAGTAACCTCAAAATCATTTTTATTGCTTTTAAAAATGGTAGGTATTGAGGCGATGAAGGAGATGGTCATGCATTGAAGTTTCATTATTTCAGTTCTATTTCTCAAATACTCCGCATCGAGGCAAATAGGTCAGCAAGAACATGATGCAGGATCAATACCAAAAATGTGCAGCTTCTAGTACATGATAAATTTTAAGTACAGTCAAAGAAATGAACAGTGGTCTTCAGCTGAAAGTTAGTTAATATCAATGCTTGGCTGCTAATGCTTATCGCTCTTACTAAACTTTTTATCTGAGGTTCGTGATTATGGGAGATTAACTATAAATAGGGCAAAAATGAGAATTCCCATGTGAGATCTTGTATTTCAAAGTAGATATTTTAATGCAGAGTATATATTATTAAAAGTTCTAAATGAAAAAGCATTGCAATTGCAGATTTTATGGTTAACACAAATACATGCAATTTCCAAGGTGGAAGTGAGTAACATGATGCATCATAAAATTTGTTTCTTCCTCTACTAAGTGAAAATGAAGTATGTTAATGCACTATCTATCTATATATATATATATATATGCAGATATTAACTAAATCCTCCTGAAGCTGATTTTGTTTGGAGGAGCAAACTTTAAATATTCATGTGTAACATTTTCCAAAATTTTTATAGGATCAAAGTTGCATCATAGATAGAAATCTGTGTTTCTCAATCTCATTCCCTAGAACTCTTCAAAAGCAATTGATTGACTAGGTTAACTTGATAACTTTTTAATTAATATACATTAATTTCTGTAAGAAACAGAATCGTATAAACCTGGAGATCAGATATGAAATGCCCAAAACTCATGTTGTGCATACCCAGATGTTAATTGACATTGCCAAAGGCTTACCCTGCAGTTGCTTCAATGCGATCTTTCACAGTTGGGTTTGGAGGAAGATTTGATTTATAAACAGGGAAGGTCAAAACAACCCCAAGATGATGAGAACCTAACAATCTGAAGGGGCTTGTAAGAACTGCTTTACCAGTTGTCCGTGCCCTCAATATGTTTTCACCATCTTCCTGAATCAGCCAGAATAATTTATGCAATCAGCACACAATTGAAAAGTTACATTTATAAATATTTCATTCACTTCAACAATGAATTAATTTAGTTACCTCCCCGGACATCATATCAAGTGATTCAATATAGGACACAGTTTCTTGAGAGAGTATCACCGGAGCATACTCATCCTTGGTAGGTGAAGGTTCTCTCTCCATCGTTCTTATTGTCCACCCATGTTGCTTCTCGAATTCTTCCCTTTCTGAATTTACGACTCCCTCTGCATATGCCACCCCACTCAACAATGGCCTCTCAAAAGCAGTTCTGGCAGTGTATTCAGCAAAAGTTTGCTGCATTTTACATCATGATGATAAACATATACAAATGCCCAAAATTCAGAAAATAATAAAAAATCAGAACACCAAAAGTACACGGAATACCCAAGAAACCACATTTATGTTTTCAACAGAAAAATATAGGGATTCCATAGCATAAACAAGAAAGTGCTTATTAAAATTCACAATTTTTTTCAACATAATCAATGAAAATTCAAGAATAAGCAAAAATACCTGATCAATTGCTGATGGGTTCTTGAGATAATGGAAAGTGGAAACGAGGATGGCGAGGGCGTGCACGTGGTTAACGCTAACACTGAATTGATCCTGCAACATTCTAGCCCTTTGGTCACACATGCTCACAAGCAATTCCTTCCTCCTCTCCTTGTGCTCATCGTCCATGTAATCATAAATTTGTGCACTAAAAATCAACATTAGCATTATCCAAAGTGCCAAGATTCTTGAGTTTGAAACACTGTGGATGATTGAATACTTTCTCTTTGTGCCCGGTTGTTCATTCACCCTCACAGCCACCATATGGTGGTTTTGCCTTTTCTCAGTCATTATACAAACTTTCTCTTCTTGTTCTTTTCTCAGCAGTGTGCTTCTCCTTCTTCTTCTTGTTTCTCCCACTTTGCCATCCGACTGCTAAAATAAACCAAAACCCCCAAGAAAATATATGTATACGCCCATTACTTTTCGGACTTATTTTTGAGCAGACGAAGAATAGGGTTCTCTTCAAATCAATGTACTTCTATGATTACAATGTTTTTTGTGACTCAAATAATTTACACAAAGAGGGAAGACGGCCCCCCAAAAAATTCTTTTTGATCCCTTTCAAAATAATTCTGTCTAAAAAAAAAAAGTAACTTTTTTTCACACCTCCATGATGGGAGGAACAAGCATGACCTTGTTGCAGACGTCAAAAGATGAAACAAAGCCCAAACTCCAAAGAAAAATTCTTATCTTTTTACCTCTCTCTTCCTCAAAGACTATCCTCCGGCTGCCAATACTTCAAAAGGGGAGTGGCAGATGTTTTACCTCTCTCTTCCTCAAAGACTATCCTCCGGCTGCCAATACTTCAACAGGAGAGTCGCAGATGCTATTGTTACTAATAAACAATGACAAACACCACCAATAATTCAATCATGTACAGATTTTGTGTGCAAAGCTCAAGAGTACCAGACAGACAAGATTACGCTCACTGCTCCTGCTCCTGTAAAAAATAATTATATCCCACAAACTCACACACACCCAAAAGTTCAATTTTTGACCTCAACACACACAGAAAGAGAATGGTATAATAACTAAGAAAAAAAAAAAACAACCTCTTTCTGGGTTCAATGAACTGTAGTAAAATTAATCTATCTTGCTTTTATTCCTTTTTTTTCTGTTCTGTAATAGGTGGTGTTAAACTGTTAATATTAAATTATTGTTATATGAATATAGCATGTGGGACATTTCTTGTCTGGATTACTTTTTAAAGCAAACTGAATCGAATTTGAGGATTTTTCAGGCACGCTCTTGTCCCCCTGGATACCTGTATCAGTAATTTCTCATTTTTCTCCTTTGTGCAAATTATTTAGAAAATCCGGTTGGGCATTTTTCTTTTCTTCTTTTCTATGAGTCAATATTCCCGAACTTGATATAAATTAGGATAAAGCTGTTTGTACACCAGGTGTACGTACACTTGTCTCACATGAATAGTGTGCGCAAATACTTTATTGTGTGTGGGACCCCCTTCATGCGAGGGGGTGTAAAAGATTGTGTGAATGATTATGTACATGTAGCATGATTGTTAAAATAAAGCTTGATAAGTCCTCTGAAAATTCTTTCATGAATCTAACTTTTTAAAAAAATATTTATTTTGACGCTAAACGTTCATACATGATACAATCCACACGTGATCTCTAACCGAAAGTGTAAAATTATTAAAAAAGTATATCTCTTTTATTTTAAAGACCAAATGGTGAATGTTCAAAACTTCAAATTACACTAGCTATTGTTTGGTTTAGCTAAAAATCATATTTTTTTAAATTTTGATAAAAATTGATGAAATATACTGTTGAAAAGTTGATAAAAATGTTTGGCCTCAAGAAATAACCAAAAATGCACTAGAATGCTATTCTTTTTTAAACCTTTCAGTCAAATATCACGTTCGTGTTGTGTGGTTATTTAACGACCAAATAGACTTTTTCCGCATACAGATACTGCATCGATAGTGTTAAAAAGTTAGGGATGTGGATGTCACAAATGCAAAAGTTTGGAGCATAATTGTTATACGTGATGGAATTTACCCTTTTTAAATAGTGTACTATTTCTTTTTCAAATTAGGAAAATATAATTTATTTAAAAATTGATTAAAATATTAGAAGTCGCTTTCACATATCTTGGTGATAGTGACTTGGGGACAACGATCAGATCTTATTCCCAATTAAATTACTAAGAAACCTTGATACGTTGTCCTATTTGCTATTTTGCCCTTTATTAACAATCGATCGGTCAACCCTCATTTTCAATAATAGGCCCTTATTGGATCCCTTAATGATTTCTAGTAGAAATCGTGGGTGACATTTTAATTGAAAAGTAACAATAATTCACTTTCTAATTTAAAACCTTAATTCAATCTAACGAATTACATCATAATGATAATAATTAGATATTAGTTTAAGAAGATCTTATAACCATATTGTAAGTTTAACTGTAAATTTGTATTTGAAAAGGCAAAATTATAACGTGTAATATTTTAATTAAAACGGAACTGTTACTCCTACTCATTAATTTGACACATTTATTTGACAAATAATCGTGACCTTTAATTTAAGTCAATTCAATGCTCAATATTTTATTGATATCAAGTGGTTATAATAAATTCTCGCATGATCTTAATGAAATACATATTGAGCGTTGGATTGACTTAAATTAAATGTCACGATTATTTGTCAAATTAATGAGTATGAGGAACGATCCCGTAATTAAAAATTGGTAGATCATGTCACATTTTAATGTAGAAGCTTATCTAAGACCAAGAATGTAGTAGTTTAGACGAATAAGTTTCACGGAAAAGAAAAAAAAATAGATAATTTAAAAACGGATAACTAACCCTCGTAGAAATAAAAGGAAAAAATATATTTAAAAAATACAAAGGGGAAAAAAAGTTAACAATTAATTTTTAAACACATATTTTATGGAATTCACAATTTTTTAAACACAATTCATAAATTTATATCAAAATTTATTAAAAATATGATTTCAATCTACTCGAGGGCTTCCAACATGATATTTGAAAAATCAAAAGTTTGCATGTCACGCAAAGTAGAGATGATTTTAACTTATAAAAGATTTTTAGAAGTACATTGTAAACTTAGCCAATGATGTTCCCTTAAAAAAGTCAAATTACACTATGTGACCTTTTATAATGATGGTAAGTGTTGTTTTTGCAATGTTTTCATATTAATTTTTCTCATTATTTTATTCATTTTTCTGATTCTTTATTAGCTTTCTTTTACATTTTGTAGTAATTTCAGGGGTGTTTGTTTTTTATTCTCAAATTTTATAGTAAATCAATTCTCATTTTCAACCACACATTTTTCAAAAAAATAATATTTTTCATCACATCAATAATTTTTTCTTCTTTTTCAATCACACATTTCTCATCATATCACTATTCAAAAATCAATTTTTCCCCCAAAAATCCCTACCAAACAAGCACTAGAGTGAACCAATAAAATGAAGCTAAAAGGAGCAATTCTGAAACAAGTCGAGTCACTTTTCTAAACCCGCTCAAGAAGCAACAAAATTTCTTTTAACTTGGACTCATTCGTTCAAAATTAGGAATGGTAAAAAAACTCGACAAACATGATACCTGCGGGGCTTGCCTTGAATGAGACAGGGATAACCTGTTTAATCAGGTATTCGAGGTTGGGACAAGGAAGGAAATTTTGCCCGAGGCGGGTTCGGGCGGGGACGGATAACGGGCGCCCTTCCCTGTTAAATTTTTTTTTTAGAATTCAATACTTTAAATGAAAAAATTCACAAAATTTCAATAGTTTTAATGAAAAATAGCAACTAAAATTATTTGTCTAAATCTAATGAATATGGACAATAAAAATAAATTATCAAAAAATAAAAAATTAAACGGGTAATAAACGGTGCAATGATCCCGCCCTCCCTTAAATGGGTAACGGGGCGGGGTTGCCATCCCTATTCAAAATGATGACAACTCTAAGATTATAAGGATAACAAAATTATTGGATCGCAGGAAATCCACGATGAGAATAAATCTCAAAAACTCAACTCTAGGATTATAATTAGAGGTGGCAATGGGTCGGGCCGACTTGGCCCGTATGCGAGCTCATTTATTCTGCTCGGTGCCCGGCCCGTGAGCTTGTGGATCGTGGACCGAGCCGAGCTTCGGTTCGCAAACTCGTCAATTTTCTTCTTCTTTTTTTTAAAATAAAGATAAACCTTTTTATCAAAAAAAAAAAAAAGGATAAACCTTCTGCTTAAGACGAGCCCGAGCCGAGCAGAACTCCACCTCTAACTATAATCCTAGATGGATAAAAAAAAGGATAAACCCTTGACCCGTTTGCCACTACTAATTACAATAACGCCGAAGATCAAAGAACTCCACCGCATAACTCCGGGAGGGAAAAAATAAAAAGAAAGGGGTTCACGTGAACTTTTCAGAAGGAGGATCAAAGGAAGACGAGAAGGAAAAGTGCAGAACTTGGCAGTAATTTCAAGAGCTGTGGGAACCTGCATCGATCATCTCCATTAATCTTCCTTTCTTCCCCTTTTTATTACTTCCTAAATGGATTTTATTTTGTTTAGTTTGTATTCCATGGGTAACTGAGTTAATTTTTTGATTAAGGGTGATTCTAAACATGAGATATGATTTTTAGTTAATAAAGTGCAGACATTTCTTATCCATTTCGATTATGTGTTTAATCCATTGATTGAATTGTTAGGTGGACTTCTTGATTATTTACTTGTACAACAAAGTGATTGGGTTGGTTTATTTCATGTTAGTTCAAATATTTTAGTAAGTAATTGCTAAGTTTCTCTGAATATAAGTAGTGTTGCACGTCAGAACATTATGGTATATTTTTATTTGATTGTAATTGGATTATCGTTGAAAATAGTAAATTGAAATGGTGTGTTTGCTGTTGATTCAATTATTGCCTCTTTCAATTGAACGCTTTTGACTAAATTAAACTTAGAGAGCATGTTCAAGGTTGTTTGATGGGAAAAAAAAATCGGGTAAAGGACTTGTTTTATTCAATAAATAGTAGTAAAAAGATAAAGAGATAATTGAATTTGCAAAAGGGATAAAACCCTGTTTTTTTTTTTTGCAAAATTAAAGGAAACCATGTCAATGGTGAAAAAAATACCCCTTATATAGTGTTTGATGAATATTATTTTGGAAGAATGTATTTTGGAATAGTAGATTGATGGAGAATGTGTGGTTGAAAAAGAAGGAAAAGTTATTGATGTGATGGAAAATATTATTTTATTGAAGAATGTGTGGTTGAAAATGAATNTTAATGAAGAATGTGTGGTTGAAAATGAGTAGAAGAATGAGAATGAAAATTTTAATGGGTACCAAACACACCCTTAATCACATTTATTTCTTATTTTAAAGTTTACACGGTATTGAGAATGGACAAAAAGAAAGAGTACAATGGAAGCCTTGGAAGATGAAGAGCTGGAGAGCGGAAAAAATGATGGAAAAGTTTTATTATTGCCAAAATACAAAATTTTGATTGTGGGGACAAAATCGTATAACTAGAATTTATTTAATTTGTCGACAAAAAACTTAAAATTGAGCGTGGGGGCAGATGACCCCATTGCCCCATACTAGATCCCTCTTTAATTCTCATACTAATTTTCAATTACATTACAACGACAATAAAAAGTAAGTATTTCTGATCATATCAATAATAGCAACTCAACGTATTATTCGATTCGCACGTCGTAGTCAAAGTCGTCTATAATCTTAGACCAGATTAGAAAGAGAGAAGATTAGTCTACCACAGCCCTATATTTGTAATTCTTGGAATATTTAGTGCTACTTATAAAGCCAAATTGCAATGAAAGTATAATGCAATGATGTTTGCTTTTTTCAAAGGATAGATTGAGTTGAAGATTGCATGGGACCATATGATTAAATGGGTAATCCACTCAAGGACGATGTGTATTTTTAGTCAAGCCATCCGTCCATCACTTTCCCAAGCAAAAAAGTTTTATGTTTTTTTTTTTTTTTTTGTTCGATTAAAAATCATCATAGCCTCTGCCACAACCTATCCCTTTGGTCACGTGATGGGCCTGACTCAGTTTTGTCCGAGTCGACTCTGCTTTGCTACGTACGTTGTGGTCCCTATATGTTGTGCCATTCTAATAGTTAATTCCAACCCCCACATGGATGGGCGCAAGCCAAATCTTCTTGCCTTTTTTTGATTTGGTCAAATTCAAGTTTGTACAGAAAGAAATGGGTTGTCGGGTTCAATATGGAACTCGTTTCGGATCTTTTTCTCGTGCAATAATTGAGTCAAACGTAAAATTTACTAATGTTAACAAGAGCGAACATTAATATACATTTGGATGAGGCATTCACAATTAACGTGCACATTTAGAGTTTGTTTGGTATAGATTAAAATTTGATTAAAATTGAAAAATTAGTCGTTATTGTTGACTTTTATTAGACGAGTGAGACTCAATAACAGCTATATTTTCAATTTTAATTAGATTAAAATCCCTCCCAAACAAACTTTTAGTTAATGATCAAGCATTCTCTACTAGCCACTTGGGTAAGAAACAAGGTACTCGGTACTTGTTTGGGAAAGTTTAAAGAGTTTTAAGATCAAAGTTAATAATTAATTTTAATTACATATTTCATAGGACGTAATTTTTATCAATTTTTACCAAAATCTGATAAAACTTCTATTAAAATCTGCTAAAATTTTTAGAGATAATAATCGAAGATGGCTTGGTTAAACTAAGCCCTCTTTGACCCCCCATATTTTAAAATTTATTTTTTTCAAACTCATTTTCAATTACACATTCTCATAATAAGATAATTCTATACGTGAATTCATAATTTTTTTTTTTTACTTTTTTTAAATTATACATTCTTTAAAAAAATCACAAAATATATATTAAAAAAATCTCTACCAAACATGGCCTGAGATTATTGTCGTTATATATTTTTTTAGACTTTTATAGTGCGATTTGGAGAATTATTAGCTAGGAATTTGGAATATATTTCACCTAAGGCCCAATTTTTTTATTTTTATTTTTTTAATACCAAACCCCGTAAACAAATACCCATAGCAAAAAGGCCCAAAACCCACACCAAATTCTCCCAAATCGACAGAGGGCAGAGAGGCGATAGCAAACAAAACCCATTCAACGACCATAACGCGAAGTCGCGAACCTTCGCCCTCTGTCTGCAGTTCACTCCTTCTCCAGCGACCTGGAGAAACGACTGGCAAGTGAGAAGCTACCGTGAAGCCAGTCGTTTCGTCTTCGAGTTCGGGCGAGCAAAGCCCTGAACCTGAGCAACCACCGTGAACCTGAAGCCAACCACTGCTAGCAGACAACAGCCACCTCGATTCGCGAAGTCCAAACATTTGAATTTTGAAGGTTAGTGTATCTATAATCTATTGGTTATAATTATAAATCTGCACTTTGAAAGAAATTTGCTATTGTTATTGTGTTAGTTAGATCTGTTTCTAATCAATTGAAAAGGAAAAAAAAGACGAAATAGATTAAAAGCTGTAATTTTGGGGATCAAGTCGTAAGCTTTTTAAATTGAAGTGCTTGACTTGAAATAAAAAGAACGTCGGCTGCACAAATAATTTTGCATAAAAGACATTAGTAAATGCAGTTTCGTTCTCAATTTGAAGTGCTTTTCGAAATTTACTTTGTGAAGTGTGAATTAGAGTATTGCCCTGAATTGCTTGCATGTGATGTTTGCTTTAATCACTTTGTGAATTGCCCTGTGAAATGTGAATATTGAACTGTGAATTTTTAGTATTGTCGTACTGTTATTTTATATTTTTATCATCATTCAATACATAACCAAAAACTCAACGACGTTCGGCGTCCATAAAAATATGCCCGCACCGAAAGAATATCCTAGCTCTGCCCCTGAACACCCTAGAGTCGGAACCAATGATACCTAAAACCTCTAACCCCACACTAGGTTTGTTGTACTCTATTGCTTCCACCAGTTTACTAACTCCTAACCATTAATATCATTACATGAAACAATCGATCAAAATGATGTAAGAATCAATTGTTATAATTACTATTTAACACGCAAACCACAATCACGATTCCAGACTCCATGTCTAATCTATCAACAATAAAAGATGTCTATAAAGCAATATGTAATGTATAATATACAAATATAGCTCGAAAAGACGTGTGTTATTATCATCCATCTGTTTGCTAATCTCGACATCGATAAAATTTTTCAGTTCTAAGTATCATTTTCAATCTACAAGAGTTGGTTGAATAGTTGGATTGCATCAACAACTTTTGATGGTGTGAGCATATCTTCTTCTTCATTGACGAATGAGATGCACATGATTGAACGGAGATATACCAAGATGACAGTGTCGAAATCTCATTATGTCTTTTTTGACGTTCTTCATTTTTGTCCTTTCCAACCTATTTGACTAAATAAAAGTAGACATCATAACAAATAAATAATCAATACTAATATAATTAAGGAGGAAGCTTTGGCTTTTTTTTTTATCTTGTTTTTGTTTTTTGAAAGATGGAAGTGTTCAGAATCCAAACACAAAACAATCATTAGGAACTAGACATGCAAATTAATGAGAATAAATATATAATTGGACAAAGAGAAGGTATAGATACAAGTATGACAATAAATAAATGTTGAATTTTTTTAACATAAATAAAAGATAGTGACACGATATACAATTGTGATTTTTATATAACCGTCCAAAATAAGTAGAAGGGTAATTATATTAGTACCGAGGTTTTTACCCCGTGCTCTACACTTAATTGCAATAAATATTCTCAATTTTCACTCGTTACTGCATTTACATCTATAATCGTTTTTTTTTAATCAAATTTTTATCTTCGACCATAAATTAGTTATCACATCTTCTTCTCGGTGACCGTTTTATCCAAATATTCTATTAGCTTGCTTAAAATTAGGGACAAATATTTTGTTGAACTTTGATGTTTATTTTACTTATTTAAAAATACGAGAGAAAAAAAAGTCATTTTATGTTCTTTTGAAGGATTTTGTGGATAGAAACCATCATCAAGACAAAAATATGCTAATTAATGATTTCTTGAGGATTAGAATGCAATAAAAAAAGATGAATACATAAATGTGATAATAATAAAAAATTGAAGATCTTCGTCACAATTCAAATATGATACAACAAATAAAAATTGTGGTGACATATGAATTCTCATTTCATACGTGAAGCAAAGGCAGGACAATAGCCTGCAAAAATAAATGAAATTTACACAAATACCACTTAAAGGAATAGTATCGATTTAAAACACTTGTTTTGTAGTATTTGAACTGTAGCACCACACTTGCCAACCTCCTATCATTTCAACTATGGTTCCAAAAATCCAATTATTGTTCCATACTTGTACATAATCAGTTACATAATGATTACATTCAGACGAAGTGTCAAAAAAGATATGAGAGAATTTTATTTATTTATTATTTGATTGAAGAAATTCTGATCTGATTATATTTTATTATATCATGTGTATGTAAATCATTATATATACATATTATATACATGTAATACAATCATAGAAATAATGTCCATTGATGACAGCCACTTTCCTTGGTTAAGAATTTTTTTTTTAATTCTTAATTGAGATTATCAATGTGGTCAACTTGTTTATCCTCCTAAATTAAAAAATTCAAATGAGAAACACCAAGAAAATACAGAAGAATGTATGCATCATTTTTCCATTAGTTAGAATATATTTTTATTTGAATTTATAACCTGACTTTGACGTGTCCATTTACTTAATAATTCAAATTAAAAACCATAGTTTATGAAGTTATTTTATGTTCAGAGTCTACTTCGACAATTATTTCACTTACGATAAATTTATACTACACTGCTTCCATTCAGATTAGAAACCCTTTAAAGATTGCACTTTCGATTTTTTATTTGTCAAAACTGCAGTGTTCTAAAAAGTTTAAAGTATGGCGAGACGTGGAGACCAAGCTTTAGCCTAGACATAAAAAGTTTTCTTATTTTAATATTATTTTAAATTTTTAATCCAATCTAAAAAAATATTTTAATAATTCAAGAATAAAATTATAAAAAGCGTAAAAAAAAAAAAAAAAAAACACCTAGGCAGGAAAAAATAAAAAAAGGTGCGAGTTTTGCGCCCTTTATGCGCCTAGACGCGGTTTTTAGAATACTACCAAACTGTCATATATTGTAAGTTTGAGCCCCTGTTTGGTACACATTAAAATTCTCATTCTCGTTGTTCTACTCATTTTCAACCACACATTTTTCAATAAAATAATATTTTCCATCACATAAATAATTTTTTCTTCTTTTTCAACCACACATTCTTCATCAATCTACTATTTCAGAATACATTGTTTCAAAATAATGTGGCTCAAACACATCCTAAATGAACGTGAAAATGGACATTGTGAGAAAAGTTGAGAAGATTGTTTTGTCTTATATTTGTGAAACAAATTAGTCCATATTGATTATGTCCTTGGCCCGTCCTTTATATCTGCTAAGGCAGTGGGTCAAAGGACCATTAATGACAACCTCAATCAGGACTGGACTGCCCAAAATTTTCAGCCTATTCACATTAACGTTTGACTGGAGAATTAGGCTTACTTCACATTCAAATTATTTTATAAAAAAATTAATTCAAAGAAAAATATGTTTCAAGGGTGATACTAGACTTTGCCACTTGCGGATAGACTATTGCCCAATATTTTCTTTTATTTTTTCAAATATCGACTGTATATAATTAAAATTTGAATATTATATATAATTTTTAGAGTAAGTAATATTTATTTAAATATCTTAATAAAATTAAATAGTTGTTAATAATTATTCGGTATTCTACTACACAGATGTATTTTCCCCTTTTCGATGTGCTAAGATGGTGTTAGGTGTCGGCTTCTGTGCGTGTATTTAAAAAATTAAAACACGTGAAAATTGTGTTTGGGAATCAAGGCTGAAATCTTAAAACAAAAAGGGTATACTACCAATGTTTAGAGCCGCTCCCACTCTATCATCAATTCTTACAAAGTACACATTTTTCTCGAATTTCAAGTACGCTTTTAACATTTTGTACTTGATTCCAAGAACACATTTGCACATATTTGTTGTCCAAAAATTAAACATAACATTAGAATAATAAATTTTAAAGTGGTAAAATAAGTAGGAACGTAAAGAAGTGATATGTGAAGTAGAAATTCTCGTCGTAGTTTTAAGGTTTAGCTACTATAACTTATTGTGACCATGTTGTAGAGAAGCGACGAGTCCAGAGGTGAATCTAAGGCAATATTTTTGTAAGGTAGTAGGATATCACCCTTTCGTGAGAACCTTCTCAGTGGTGGAAAGTTTAGCTTCAGAGATGGACGAAGGCAATGGTTATCATATGGTGAGAAAATATTGTCTCGTCTGGTAACCTTCTAGGTAGTGGAAGCATGTGCTTCAGTTGGATTGGTGGAATATAAACATGTCATGTTTAGACTCGCGATGGAGAATGTGTAAGATAGTCGAATGGAGTGAGACAATTGTGATGAACGAGAAAAATAATTCTTCTGCAATACTCAAAGAGTTAGAATCCGTTACAATGACTTGAAAAATCTAGTTATGTTTCGCTCCTACTAAACATGATCAGTGTTGATTTAACTGTAATGATGTCACATTGTGTTTTACAAGACAAAAAAAACCCTCTATTTGCGGGGGCTCATCCTTCCTTAAAGTTAATTGGGCTGAATTCTTGGCCACGAAACCACATTGGCCATTTATATGGATTCATCTTTATTGGCCGGAATGTTAATATGGCCGAATTATAGGCCATGAAACCATTTTACCTCTCTCACACAAAGTCCCAAGCTATCACTAGTCAATAATAAGTCTCGATTTGACAGGGATTAAAATTATATTTTTAGCAGGTTTGGATAAAAATTGAAGGAACGTCTGATTGAAAAGTTGTGGATCTGGTTACAAATCACCAACCAATGAAACAGTGAAGAAAACAAAACATTGTACGAACATTTGTTTGAACGAGGAAATTCATAAAAAAAAATTTGGGTTAGGGGCTCGATGCAAATAAACATTCCTTCCATCCCACTACCTACTTTTCTTTATTCATAATTCAGCATTGGTTGATAATGAATTTCCTTTAATAATTCCAATAAACAAAGAAAGAAATGTGAAAGTAATCTTACCCAAATCTGATCTGGTCGGGGATAATATTATAATATGGATTAAAATAATTATTAATATAAATAAAGTCTTTTTTGAGTTGGTGCTCTATTATCAAGGGCAAGTGGGTGAAAAGCTTTGAATGCAATGTTTTGTGCATTGAACACAGTAGTATTGTTTGAATATCTATAGATTTTTATAAAAAT